CGAGTCTTTCTCAAATTAATTGAAAAATTCAGTGATAAAACGAAGAATAAAGGTATGAAAATGGAGGAACTAGTATAAAGGACACATGGACAACAACTAAGGGGGGTGGAAATGGGAGGGAGGTGGGGAGCACTGGGGGTGGGCTGGGATGGGAGTAAAAAACAGAAAACTACTTAAATTTTTTAAAAAGACAAAAACATTTTTAAAAGATATAAAAATGGCTTCAGAGCTTTTGAAAAACAACAGAAAAGGGAAGTACCTTCCTAGTTATTAAAGCTTTATTAGTTAAAATCATGTTATATTAGTACATAAATTAACAACTAGATTAGTAAAACAATAATAACCATGGGTCTATTTTGGAGTCTCTAGACCACTGGCTATTTGGGAATAAATTTCCAAATTTATTTTGGTGGACCATAGTATAAAACTGTCAAAGTATTGTAAGAAATACAGGAGACTAACTTTATGCCACTGGGATAGGAATATGTTTCTTAAAAAGATACTAGATACACGAAAGGAAAAGGTCAATAAAATCAGCAGTGGCTTATAAAACATGTTTAGCAGAGGACATCAGAAACAAAGATAAAGACAAGTGCCAGACTAATAACAAGTATTTACCCAGAGGCATTAAGACCATTAAAATCATCAGCAGTCAAATAGGAAAAATAGGTAAAGTGTATGTAATTCCCAGAAAAAGAAAACTGAATGTTCATTAAACATAGGAAAAAGTGCACGATTTTAGTATAAAAATAATACAGTATAATTTTACACTCATTATAATGACCTGAACTAAAAAGACTGACATGAAATATTTAAGAGGAACAACAGTGATGAAAACTTGTACACTGCCCACATACTTGGAGAATAGATCAGTTAATGTTATATAACAAACTATCCTAAAACTCGGTGGCTTAAAAGATTAAGTATTGATGTTTGCTCACAAGCCCCTGAGTCAGTTTCTGTGTCAGCTGGACTACTCAGCTGTCTGCAGCCAGCTCCGGGTCAAGTAGGAAGCTCTGCTGACCTTATCTGGGCCCTTGCACATTTGGGAGGTTAGCTGGCTGGAGGCTGCTTTGTAATATCCTCAGCTAAGACAAATGTTCCATCCTTTAGGAGACTAGCTCACAGGTCCTCAGCAGAGTTGCAGAGAAAAAGTGGAAACTGGAAGGCCTCTTGAGGTCGAGGCTTGGATGCAGTATACCATCTTTCTGCATTCTTTTGGCCAAAGCAAGGCACAAGGCCAGCCTAGTGCAGGAGTGGGTAAATAGGTTCTATTTCTTTCCTTTTTTTTTTTTTTTTTTTAAGACAGAGGGGAAGAGAGGGAGAGAAACATCAGTGTGTGGTTGCCTCTCCCATGTCCCTCACTTGGGGACCTGGCCTGCAACCCAGGCATGTGCCCTGACTGGGAATCGAACCAGCAACCCTTTGGTTTGCAGGCTGGTGTTCAATCCACTGAGCCACACCAGCCAGGGCAGGTTCTATTTCTTGATAGGAGGATCTGTAAAATTACATTTCAAAGGATGTGGATACAGGGAGAGGTAGTGAGTTGCAGCCATTTCTGCAGTTGATCTGCTGTAGGGAGCAACTTCATATGTGGGGAAATTGGATGTATTTTTACCCTGCAATCAGAAATTTGACTATTAGTAGAGATACTAAACTCCCACACATGGTAGGTAATAAGAATATGTACAAGGGAGTTTTTGTGGTTTGGTCACATTTTTAAAAATAATAACAGGACTAAATGTCTACCAACAAGTAAATGGATTAGTGTGATAAATTTTTAAAATAGATTACTGTCCAACAATTCAAATGAAATAATTAGAACTACATGTATCAGTATAGGTAAAACTCGGAGACGTGGTATATGTGGAAGTGGCAGAAGGTATGTTTTTTAATTGAGTAGAGAAACATACAGAAAACACTATATACCATTCATTAATAATGGATATGTACCTAAGTTGTAACGTATAAAAACATGCAAGAGAGTGATAAACACTAAATTCATGTGAGTAGTTACCTTTGGCAGGGGTAGAGGGGTGCAGAAGGGCCTTCAGTTATACCAGTAGTTTTATTTCTTTGGAAAAAAAGATACAAAATGATACATTACTATTTGACAAAGATGGCTAGTGGTGACCTGAATACTTATTACTTTATTTTCTTTAAAAAATTTTTTAAAGATTTTATTCATTTATTTTTAGAGAGAAGAGAAGGGAGGAAGAGAGGGAGAGAAACATCAGTATGTGAGAGAAAGATCAATTGGTTGCCATTCACATGCCCCCAGCCAGGAACCTGGCCTGCCACCCAGGCATGTGCCCTGACTGGGAATCGAACCAGTGACTGTTGGGTTTGTGGAACAGTACCCTACCTACTGAGCAACACCACTCAGAGCTATCTTCTTTACTTTTTAACATTCAAAATACTTCATTTAAAAAACAAAACACCTGGGTAGGGATTTGCTGGACTTAAATGGAAAGTTATATGCTTTGAAGACCATTGTTTTTGTTTGTGGGTTTCCTCACATAGATACTTGGATTGGGGTTTCTCCTCTGAGCTCATTTTGGGGCTGGACTTACTGCTTTAATAAAGGAAACTTTTATACTAGCATTCCCTTGAGTGTACACAATTTTTGTTTTGGGATAACCAGTCTTCTCACAGAGCTACCTTTTAAATCAAGAGAAATAGCAAGAAGCTTTCCCATCCAGGTACCAAAATACCCAACTAAATGTGGCTTCAACAGCACCGGTTAACTTTCTCATGTAAGAAAATAGAGGCAGGTGATTATCTCATTTCTTCAGCAGCTTGGCAGTGTCAGGATTTGTTTAGCCTCTCGTAGATTCCCTTGGCCTTCCCCTTATGGTCAGAAGATGACTGCAGCAGCTCCACGTTTAGGTCCCCACACGAAAAGCAAGGAGGCATTGGGTTTTTTTGTACAGTGCTTTTTATCATGGTGGGAAGTCTTTTTCCCAGCAGCCCCCTGGGGACACCGCCTCAGGAGCCATTTATCCAGAACTGGGTCACTCACCGCACACCCAACAGAATCTGGACCTTCCCTGTGGCAGGGCTTCGGCAGAGAGAATGCCTGTGGGCTAGACAGCCATCGGTGTCTGCCAAAATGCCTACCTTAGAATGAAACATTGGTTTCTGAAGGTGATGGCTCACTTTGTACCCATCCTTAACAAACAGCAAAATAAGGGTTCTTTGTGGTGGATCATCGTAGCAGTGGGCTCAATGGCCCATCCACAAAAGTACCTCTGCCCAAGTCTCATGTACGTCCTGGGGTGGGGGTGGGGGTGGGGGTGAGGGTTCCCACTAGAGGAAAAGATGGGGAAGTCGCACAATTGATCCAGCTCGTTGCAGATAATACTTCCAATCTCAGTAAAACACTGTAAAGGAAAAAAGACATTTGAAAATTTTTTTCTTTTTAAAGAATAGGCAGTTGCTCAGATTATTTTTGTTAACTAGACCTAAAATGGTAGAGTACTGTATACTTTGAAGTTCAAGGAAGCACCTACCTGCATATGGTTGGATAATAAAGGCCAGTAAATAATTTATTTGAATTTCTCATTTGTGGCTGAGAAGGACTTTTAAATAAAGTCTCCTTCTCTGGATTAAGGGTTTTTGACATATAGATAGAAATTATAACTGCTTCAAATGATTTTGAGAAAAACAGGTTCATACCAACACCCTGACTGGACCACCTTACATACAGCCTGGATCAAATCTTACCCCCAGTGTCTGAGCAGAGTACGTGTCGAATGTGACCCTGCAAGGGTCATGTGAGGGGTAAAAATAACCGTCCAATTGCTTGTAATAGCATTGGAGAGAGAGCTGAGAGATGAAGGTTGGACTGTGGAAAATTATGGAAAAGTAAAATGGTTACAGTGGACCGACCCTGTGTTGGAGGACCTTCACCTATGAGGAATCTGTGTCTTTTTCAGCACTGTGACTTTAAAGAACTGAAATCCTCTTTCTTACTAAAGAAGAGCCCCCTCCTAAGAAAACTGCTGAATCTCAATTTTAAAAACTGGTAGATATGGGAATATTTCTTTGCTTCTTTACCATGGAATCATTGGTAGGATCACCTTAGTAGAATTCTCACAAGTAGAATTCCCTAAATGTTAACATAAAACTTGAAAGAAACAAAAGAGGCAAGTAAAACTATTGTTAGTTTCTATAAGTTGAAGATTATAATGAGAAGTGAAAATAAATGCCACTGAAATGTCAGTGTTCAAATGGCAGCATTGTTTGAATTGCAGTAGACTTTAAAAGAATGTGTCTGTTTCATAAAGGAAAATGCCTTTTATTTGTCCCAGCTGCATGCAACACAGAGTAAATCCAGGGTATATGTTGCTATTGAATACAGAAATTATTATTAAATAAAAAGTTTTAAGTCATACAGAATCATTGTAGTGTGAAGTTGATTTGTGCCCTTAAAATTTGAAGACCATTTTCTAAACTTTTGCTTTAAATTTTTTTTATTGATTATACTATTATAGTTGTCCCAGTTTTTCCCCCTTCACTCCCCTCCACCCAGCAGCCCCCACTCCCTCCAGCAATCCCCCTCCTTTGTTCATGTCCATGGGTCATACATGTAAGTTCTTTGGCAACTCCATTTCCTGTACTTGCTTTTAACATCCCCCTGCCTATTCTGTAACTACCAACTTGTACTTCCGAATCCCTTCACCTTCCCCCCATCCCCCCAGACCCCCATCCTCACTGGCTACCATCCCAGTGTTCCTCATGTCTTATGATTCTGTTTGTGTTCTGCTTGTTTGCTCCAGCTTGTTTGCTGGAGACTAGGGGCCTGGCCTGCAACCCAATGTGCCCTGACTGGGAATCAAACCTGTGACCTTTCTGTTTGCAAGGGGGCACTCAATCCACTGAGCCACACATCTGTCTTTTTGTTTTTTCATTTCCATGTTACAAACTGCTCAGAAGATTCAGAAAAAGGCGACAATATAAACCATCAGTGTGTTAATTTTATTTTCCTTACTTTGCAGGCTGGAGTAAAAGGGACATTGGGAAGATTAGTCGGAATTTTTGAGGTAAGTCTGTTAAAATCTTTGCACATATGGTATCATATTTTAACCACATATATCTTTGTCATAGTCCATCCAGATGCTGTAACAAAATTTCACATACTGGGTGGCTTATATATAATAAAAATTGATTTTTCACAATTCTGAAGGCTGGAAGTTCAAGATCAGGGCAGCAGCAGATTCAGTGTCTGGTTGAGGACCTACTTCCAGGTTCATTGACCACTGTTTTTCTGTGTCCTCACATGGTAGAACAGAGAAGGTTGCTCTCGAGGTCTCTGTTTTAAGGGCACTAATTTCATTCATGAGGGTCAGCCCTCATAACTTAATCACCCCCAAAGACCACCTCCTACTGCCATCACATTGAGGATTAAGATTTCAACATATGAATTTGGGAGGGGCATAAATACTCATTCCATTGTAGCCTTTGTCTCCTCCAAGCAGCCAGAATATTATTTGTATTATTTACTCTATCTCTGCCTCCCCTCCTTTCCTCTCTAAGATGTAAGGAGGGGTAGATACTGTATTTTGCCATGCATAACGCACACTTTTTGCCCAAATTTTTGAGAGAAAAATAAGGATGCACGTTATACATGGGTATAGTAATCTCATGTATAATGTGCACAAAAACATGGGTGTACATTTACACAGCAAACTGCGGGTAAGTGTAGAAAAGAGAGAAACAAGGAAATCGAACTGGGGTAGAGATTTGGAGGAAGGTGGAAGGAAGTGAGAAGTCAGGGAATAAAGGTGACCTGGGTTCATAGGGGCGGGAGGGTGTGGGACATGATTGGCTGGCTGGCTTGTATCGATGAGGCCTCGCCCGTCCAGCCTCCTCTTTCTGGTGCCCACCTAGTTAAATTTACTTGGTGCCTTTTTCTTGAGAGGTCATGAACTTCCTGCTCACAACTTTTCCATGAAGTTGCACTTAAGGAAAGGAGAAGGGAAAAAAGAGAGTAAAGCCTTGGCTCTAGGAACCCGGCCAAAGACCTTACCCTCAAATGCAACTGCGGCATGTTTTCAAGTAGGACGTCTGGTGCTATTTCATGTTCGACTGTAGGCTGGTAAAATGTAAAAGGAGCCTGTGTTTAAGCTCTCTGTACATACGTGTGGGAGTGCGCTTCCTAAGTCCTCTCAGCCCCATAAGGAATAACTCTTCCTCTGTGCTCCTCCCTTCGCCCTCAGAACCAGGAGAGGAAGCACAGAACGTATGTCTACGTGCTCATTGTCACAGAGGTGCTGGAGGACTGGGAAGACTCAGTTAACATCGGTAAGTCACCCCAGGTGGCCTCCGAAGAGCTTGCCATCGCACAGGTCGTTACTCAGAACGGAAACAAGCCCAATGAGAAGAGAAGTTACGGGAGGACAGCCTTAATAAAACAAGCATGTCCATTTTTAAACTTGTGAAAGTTAGTATTTTGAAGTGTTTAAAAGAAAGCTAAAGTTGGATACATGGTCAACAAATAGAAACATGGCCCACGAGAAATAGGAAATGTTTCTAAGAATCAGACTGGATCCTCCTTCATGATGCCAGGCCCATGCTGGCCACAGAACCCTGGGTGAGGGCAGGACCTGGGCTGTTCCTTGTGATGCTTATTCTCGTTGTCAGAGACAACTGTTGGTTTGGTGGCGTGAGCCCCTCTGTGGGGTCATTTTGCAGGTCAGAGCAGCGGGAGTAGTTCCCAGTGCCATTCGCGCCCCTGGCCAAGGTGCCCAGCTGTGTCGTAAAGAGCTGTTGTCTTTGATCTCTGGGTCACTGTCGGGTGTGTTTCTTTTGAACTAAAAAACTAAAGCGATGGAATGGCTGGTTCATGATGTAATCTTTTGCCTCTGAACAAAAATATTTTTTAGAAAAGTGTAATATTAATTTAATTTGTTTTAAATTGGTAAACAAATAAAACACTTGCCAAACCTCTGCCTGTATGCTTTGCCATCGGGGCCCTCGCACTGCCGATTTGAGCGTTTCATAGCCCTTCAGTTTTTAAAGGCTTTGTGTCTGGTAAGATGCAATGTGGTTAAGGTGTGGGGAGGATATTAAAAATAGACTCCTTGACAGCTGGTGCTGGGTCCTCAGAGGGAGGCAGAGATGAGTGTGGCATGGCCCTGTCTCAGAGCACTCAGTCGGGCCGGGGTCTCACACTTGGAATATGGATCTTTAAGGTACTGCCACAGTATAGCCTTTCACCTCTACTCTGACCTCTGACAGCTGACCGTGATGTAGTGATCTAAAACACGGGGAATAAGGCCATGAGCCTTCCTTCATATGAGCCTTTTTCAGATGAAAAACTGGGTCTTAACTGTACAGCTCAGTGAATTATAAGTGATTTAAGGTACTTTCATCTGATGGAAATGTTAACTGTTAAACACATAAAAGTGCTTAGAAAATAGTTTCGGTGAGTGAAATAGAAATATATTTCTATATCAGCAGGATACAGAAATATATATACACTATACATACACACGCACACTTAGTGTTCCATTGAAATCATAATTTGAAATGAAATAAAGAATTGCCAGTGGTCAAGAAAGGGTAAGTGCGCTGGCTGGGGTGTGTGAGACCGGCCAGCACACACGCGGGGGTCAGAGTGGGTGCGATTCTTAGAAACGATTCCTATTTCTCATAGGCTCTCCGTCTTGGAGAGCAGTTCAGCACTACGTATCATGAGCCCTTTAGAGTTCAGATGTTTTATTCTTATAATCTCAATTCTATGGATCTTTCCCTGAGAGGTTAAAAAAAAAAAAGAACAAATAAAGATTTTTTAATTGTTGTATTATTTATAATTAAAATCATAGGATATTTATGTTCAGTGATAGGGAAATGGTTAAATGAGTAACAGCACGTCCATGCCAGATGTTATGATGTAATGCATAGCCATTAAATGTTATATTTTTTTACCCTGGCGAGTGTGCCTCAGTGGATTGAGTGCCAGCCTAAGAACCAAAGGGTTGCTGGATTGATTCCCAGTCAGGGCACATGCCTGGGTTGTGGGCCAGGTCCCCAGTAGGGGGCACATGAGAGGCAATGACACTGATGTTGCTCTCCCCTTGCCCTTCCCCTCTCTCTAAAAATAAATAAAATCTTTTAAAAATGTTTTTAATAACATAGAAGAATGCTTAAGAAGCACTGTGAAGTAAAAAAGAAATAACAGTAATAGTAATAATAAAAAGCAAACTCTTAGAGCACATACCACGTGCCAGGCATTGTTCAAATACCATACATAGTAATATCCACAACAGACTTGTGAGATAGGTCACATTTATTATCGCTCTGTTACAGACGAGGAAAATAGGGCACAGAGAGATTCAACTAACTTGCACAGTTCATTAGAGCCAGTGATGTGATTGGAGCTCAGCATATTAGCATAGGCGCCCATGTTCCCACCCATAACACTGTATCAGAGCCTTTCGGTATTTGGAGCACCTTAAAGCATGATTCAGTCACAGTTGTTCCAATACACTGTCTTTTTGAAACACGATGAAAAAAGAGCAAATGCACCAGGGTATTGAGAGTGGTCATTTCTGGTTTATAAGATTATGGGTAATTATATTACACTTTCCTCTGTTTTCCCAACTTTAAACAGTGATATTTTATTATAAAAATAAATAAATAAAAGATTTTAAAGCATGTATTAAGAGGAAGACCAAGTAAGAGATGGACTGACTGAATAAAGGCAATAGGCCTGAGCCCGCAGAGGCTGAGCAGGGCTGTTGAAGACAGAAGACGGGACACTGTGGACAGAGCCAGTTCAATGGCACATAACACATATTTTATAAAAGAAAATAGACTGAAAAGTTAAAAGTGATTGCGTCTAGATTTTTTTTGAAGTAATATTTTCTATTATATAGCTGTATTACTCATAAGTTTTTTTAAAGTGAGTAACTGATTATAAGCCAGCCATCTGGTAATTTTAGAAGCTTGATGCTTAGGAGGGGGCGTGCTGGTTGGGCCTCAGGCTCTGAGGGAGCCGAGGCAGGCCCAGCCCGAGCGCCGTGGCCGTGGGAAGCCGCCTGCTGCGGTCTGTCTGGAGGGCCGCGTCACACCATCGCTGTCAGCAATTCAGTTTTCGGATTTCTGCATTAGACGTTTGTACAGTATTTGAAGCATATAAATTGTGCTTGCTTTCACTCCCAAAAGAAAATAAATAAAACATATTTATAATAGATGTTTTGAAAATGTTGACAGCCATTACTTTCATATTTCTTTCTATTTTCTCAAAAGTTAAATGATCAGAAACCTTTGGTTGCTTCCCTGGTGTCCTTACTTCTTTTCCTATGTGCCTCTACAGGAAGGAAGAGGGAGTGGTTTAAGATAGAAGATGCCATCAAAATGCTGCAGTACCACAAACCCGTGCAAGCGTCGTATTTTGAGACATTGAGGCAAGGCTACTCCGCCAACAACGGCACCCCAGTTGTGGCCACCACCTACTCGGTTTCTGCCCAGAGCTCCACATCGGACATCAGATGACTGAAGACCTAGAAGAGGATGGAAATTGGAAACTAGACTGAAGTGCAGACCTGACCTTCCCTCTCACCTTCGCTCTTCTCACCCCTTTTCACAAGCCTCCTCTCCCAGATAAGGCATGATGGCAGCAGAGAAAGTGTTCATTGAAAGTGTTGCGGTTTGGTGTTACAGGATGGGGCTTTTCTTCTCTTTTATTGAGGGGGTTGTAATTTGCAAGTACTTTTGTGCATGATCTGTCCCTACCTGGTCACACTCCTTCCTACGTTCTCTAAAAAGAAGCAAACAGCCTTCCTCTACCTTGGATTCTGAAGTATTCCTGTCTGTCTCATTCTAGCCCTGGCCAGGCTTTTTTCTTTGATTTTTAATTTTTTTAAATTAAAAGATACCAATATGAGATGAAACCTTTCAAGAATCTGCTCTATAATGTGCTGTTCAGTCCACTAGGTTGGTTCCTTTCACTACAGGATACACTTGGATACATTTATCTACACATTATATACTGGGCATATAATATGTAAATAAATGACTTTTAGAAGAGGAATTTAACTGTTTAAATGTTTCAGGGTTTTGTTTGGTTTCTTAAATTCAAGGCCTTTCCAAAACGGAAAGCCTTTCCAAAACGGAAAGCCTCACCATTCACGCTGTCCTTTTGACGCTCTCTTTGACGCCTGTGGCTCACCCAGTCCCTGGCCTTGCTCTTTCCCAGTCATGACTGTGGTCGAGTGGGGGTGGGGAGAGGGCACGCCCACCATCAGGGCGTCCAGGACTCGCGGCTCCCCCTCCAGCAGCTGCGTTTCCACACCAGGAAAAATCCAGGAAGACAGCTGTTTTCTTTGTTATTGCCAAGCCAGGAGCAAATGGCCTCAGCCCAGATCTGGAGAAACAGTGATAGAGATTGAATTCTTCCCTACATGTTGACAATAGGGGTTGGAACTGGGTTTGGGTTTGGATTTTTTTTTGTAATACTGCTTACAGCCGACAGCACGCGCTCTCCTAGTGCATACCTGCCTTACAGCCGCCTGAACTCATACTGTCTCTGTGCACGGAAGTGGCCGCCTGGCCTCGGCAGTGCAGCTGTGCCGCCCTGTCCCCACTGTGGGGAACCATGTTAGGTTCCTGAAAAGTACCTGGGAGGAAAATCCAAGTGTTTGCTTGTCTTTGTGATGTTGCAGCGCTGGTTAGTGCGCTATGAGCCTGCTCAGAGGTTCTGACTGTGCCGCCTACTTCGGTGTGGAAGGCCTCCCTTCTGCAGAGCAGTGGTGCTGTGGGGGTGCTTGATCGTGTGCTGGGATCCGCGGATGGCGGGCGCTGGGCTCGCTGCAGGCTGTCTCCTTGGGTGTCATTCGCCACTTGTGTTGTTTAGTTGGGAAGTAAGGGTCTTCGAGTTGGTGAGGTGGGACATTGATCAGTCCCTGGCTTGGGACAGGAGCTTGTCACTATATTCTTAGTGGCTTCTCCTTTGTCAAAACAGCCAAGATGTGAAATTACAATTGTAGTTCTCATTATTTAAAAATTCTCATAAATACTCAAGCTTTGAAAAGCTTTTACTCTTCCTTCGCACTAATAGAATGTGCATATCTGGTCGGTCTGTGTCATTTAGTTTCCGGCTTTCAGGGGGATAGCCATTGGTGGATGTAAATTTTGCTGTGCTCTCGGTTGCATCTTGTCCTCCAATCTTAAACACAGAACCAAAGGCAGCACCACTAGTTCCCTTAGGGCACGGTCCTGCCCCTGGGGAAGAAATTCTTTCCCCAAGTCAGGGTCCCATTGGATAGAAACCACACCGTGGAATTTGAGTCTAAATGCCAACTCACTTCACGTGTCCTACTTAAAATCACACACACTGCTGCTGTTGTCTGTTCACAGCATCTAATGTTCTGCTCAAATACATACAGGGGGAATTAAATAAGACCAACTAGGCACTAAGTGGAATCCCAAAAGCACATTCCCCCAAATGCATTCTGTCTTTGTGATGTGGCTTGAAGGTGCTTCGCAGAAGAAGTCATACTCCTGGAAGGGTGCCGCGGCGTCCGAGGTGATTGCGCATCTTTTACCGGTCAGAGGGTGTCTGTACGGAGCTGGTGGGACAACATACGAGCCTGCCAAGTCCAGTCTGGGTTGTTGTTGGTGTCTTCGGGTCAGGAAAGGGAGCAGTGCCAAGAAGCATTTCTCCCTAACATGAACAGGTCCTGTTAACGCAGTTAACTGAGCAGGTTCTGCTGGTGCTTTGCTGACCAGCCACAGGAGGCCCCAGCCGGCGGAGGTTTCAGTTGCACTGGGACTCTGGGGGGGGGGGGGGGGGGGTGTCAGTATTCTTCCCTCCCCGGCACCATCAGCGCCGGGGCTGCCTCACTGCTGTGTAGTCGCCGCCCTTCTGTGCTTCCAGCTAACTTTATGTCTCCCCAGAGAACGGAAAAACAAAGCACAACAATCACCCTGCTTGCAAAGTAATTTTATTGACACCAATTTGCCATTAGCTTTATAAGGACTCACCTGGTTCAGCTCGAAAGAAACAGGTTTCTGTGTTCAGGACAGATATCAAGTCTCTTTCTCACAGTGAATTTGCATCTTCTAGGTTCCGGTTATCACTGGAGTGTCCATCAGAGTCTGCCATCCTCAGGATAGAGAAAGATAGCAATGGATTTTTTTAGTTAAAATTTGTTTTTAGTTTATAAATTGTAGCCACTGGGGAAACATAAGTGAGGTCATGCCATCTTTTTGGAATAGGACTGGGGGGGGGGAGGAAAGAGGGAGGGGGGAAGGAGGAGGGTCAGGCACTGCCCCCAGGAGCAGCTGTGTTAGGGTTTGTAGCCTTCCCAAACAGTGCAGCCCATGAAACAGGAGTCTCGGTTTTTCTCATAAGCAAACAGAACAGAATGGACATGTTAAGAATTGACTGTGCTTTGTTTTGACAAGTATCTGCTGCCCTATCTGCCCTGCGTGGAGATGGCTCCCTAACGGCTTAGTCTGAGCTGAGGCCATCTGGAGGGATCAAAGGGTGAGGGGTCGGCATCCCCTCTGAGGCTGTGGCTGCACTTCCGGTTCACCCTCCGCATCATGTGGCGAGGCGCCGCAGCAAGTGCAGCAGTTAGGGCCTCCCTCCTGGCAGCCTCTGGGGAGAGGGGAGACTGCCCTCAGAGTGTTTTGCAGCCCTTTTGTAAGTGTGTTGCCACATAGTCAGGTTCCTCTGTGGCAAAAAATATTTTCTGTTTTGATGTTAGGAGTCAGCGCATGTGAATTCTCCTAGACTTGCTTAGAAGAAAAAGTTCTGCACAGGACTGTCTTCCTTCTTGCCCTTCTCCTTTCTCTTTTCCACACACAATGCTCATAGAGGCTCCTGCACCTCCGTAACAGAGGGCTGCTCGGTCTCCTGTGGGACCCTGGTGTGCGTTTCACACACAGTACTTTTCGTATTCACCGTTTCCACTTAGTGCTGTATTAACACCTCTGTTGGTGTCCCCACCTGACCTTTTTTTAAAAACAGCCTGAGCCACATTTTTTTTAGTTTACAGAAAGGACTTAATAATCACAATGTGATTTTTGCCACAGCTGTAATTTTTAGTATTTCTGAAGTGTTCTGTAAGCCTGTGCTAGTTGAGAACAGGTTTAGAATTAAAAGAAATTCCTGGAGAAGTTATTACAGTGGGATGAATTTTTGCTTAAAGAGAGCTATAATTGACAATATAGCTTCATCTTGGTCCCATCTGCATTTCAGAAAACAACCCACATTTTTACCAAAAAAAAAAAGAGAGAGAGAGAGCTGTGCAGGACAGCTAAGTCAGCAGTTCCAGGGCGAGGAGATTATTCAGTAGTGATTGAACAGTACAAATGCTTTTCTGGTTCTTACTCCTGAAGATAAGAGGTCAGACCTGAGGCTGTGCAGGTCACACGCCCTGTGGAGGCAGCAGGCATTTCTTGGGAGCCCCGCCGGGGTGCAACCTCCTTCCCCAGGGCTGTGGGGGCTGCTGCTGTGCAGCTGGCCTGCTGGTGGCCTCCCTCTCTGCATGGGGACTTCACCTCACTGGGAGCAGGGGGAAATCAGCAGGCATCTGCCTTGCTGGAGAGCCATGCAGCACGGACCTCTCACCCTCAGAAAGAGCTGTGTTCTCCACACCCCATTTGATGTCGGCTAAGACAGTGAGACATTTGAGATTGTCAGGTAAATTTTAAATTGGGAAACACCAGCTTCGATCCATAGAAGATACTGCTGTCCATGCATCAGGCTGTCTCAGGTCACTGCGGGTCCTGGGGACCCGGGGATTTCAGGGACACTTCTTTCCACTCCTGCGTTCACATTTTGACTGTGTCCTGCGTTAGCTGACAGCCTTCCAGGGATGTGAGAGGCCTAATCAGGGCATCTGGGAAAATGATACCTCTCACCTTTAGATTAATCAAATAATCTGGCCTCTAAGTCCCCTTAAATATTAATAAAAGGGAAGGAAAGAATCCCATTTGGTGTGGATTTGGACTGGATCCTGGAGCTGAGGCTAGTCACGATTTTGTGTATCTCTGCAATGTGAAGTTTTCTAAATAAAAAGGCATGTCTCTTAAAGCTTTGTTCATCGTAATGATTTGGTGAGCTAATGCTTGTCTTAGAAAATGAGGCTGTCTGCAGCAAGGGAGCTCAAAGGGAAACCAGTTAACTCAGAGTCCAGCACACCAGGGGGGACTCCAAAGAAGAAAGTAAGGCTGCTCTGTGAAAGGTGGAGGGCCACCGCTTCTGTTCCTCCATCAGTCCAGTTTAATTCCTCACTCTAGGTTTCCTTCGGTTTACATTTCTGGTTATAAACCTGGAACAGGGACCTCCAAAACACCAAAAGAGGCATTTAAAACCCTAGAGATTGGCTTTAAAAGGTACAGAAACTGCAGCCTTGTCATTCTCCAGCTGTATCACCCCTGTGGCAGTCAGTGCAGATGTCAAGATTTCATTAATCATTGAGCTGAGGAACATAAACCTGGTGCTGATACAGTTACCTACTAAATTGCTTACCCTCTGTGGTCGTTGTCTATGGGGTGTGCTTTTCAGAGAACATCTTGACGGTACAATAAAATCACTCTTCTGGGAATGAGGTCCCATTTAGATCAAAATCTTAACTCTTTGGAACTCCCTAGGAAAAAGCAAGATGCCTCAATCCCAGGGCTGGGCCTTGAGGCTGTGCTGGCCCTCTGTCGTGCGGTGTGCAGTGGCTTACCGGCAGGAAATTCGCTTTTCCAATGAGGTTGCCTGTAAACCCTACAGAAGTAATACTGATAGGAGCCTATCTTTCTGAGCACTTCTGTGCTGAATTGACAAGTTCACCTAAAGCTGTATGTAACAGAGCCCTGTAGCCTCCCTGTGTCTTATCCTGAAAAGAAAAGCTTTTCAGGCTCACTGATAAAATGACCAGGAAGGACCTCTAGCTTTAGTTACATGATTCCAGCAGCATAACAGATATGACTGTGCCAAGAAGGTCGGGACTCATTATGGAGACACCCGGCAACCAGGAGGGTGGGTCTGCCCCTCAGAGAGCCTCCACCCCGGGCATATCTGAAGTTATGTCTTGGCAAGCTTCCAGACCCTGAAGGGAGGGGAGGACTTCGAGCCGAGCGGGCCTGGGCTGTTCCTCCCAAGGTCAGGAAGGAGTTCCAAAGGAAACAGCAGGCATCGAAGCTGCGGCACAGACGCAGCCTCCCTGTTCCCCTTCCCTCATGGCTGTGAGCAGTTGCCCAGAACCCCAAAGGGATCCGCCCCCAAATCCAGTCAGCCTCAGGTGCTTATTTTAGCCCGAGAACCTCACATTTTCCCTTCCACCCATGGATGGACATCCAGGAGTGTGTTGCTCAGGGCACAGTACGTGACTGAGTCCAGGGCCCAGTGCCATAGCGTTGCATTTAGTAGTTAAACAGTTAACTCTGTTGTAAAAGAAATACAGAGTCTGTAGCTCAGTTTTGTAAATGTCAGGCCTGTCTTTATTATTTCATGGTTTGAAAATCTTTCAAACTGGTTTCTAATCAAAAGTTTGGTGGCTAAGTAAAATTTTAGTCAGCAACAATACATCTATCTTAAGAAAGATAGCCACCAGTTCGTCGTTTGTTTAGGGGAGCTAGGAGCATTCAAGGACGTCGGGAGCCGTTGTAAAGCCAATGTCTCTGGCTGCCCAGGTGCGTTATTCCACAGAGGAGGTGGAAGCCCGCTAGTAGCATCACAGCACTTGCTCTTGCCAGCCCAGCTTTATCTTAGGGACTGGTCTCCCATCCCACCCACTGAACTTGGTAGGTAGGGAAAGGGCTCCAAGGAGCAGGCGAGTCCTGCCCTGTCGGCTCAGCTGCAGAGTGTGGTCTTCAAGCAGCACAAGGCTTATTCAAGGTGTTTCCTCACTGCAGTCACTTTACTCACCATCAGCATCAGAAAGGTTAAACTCCCTGGGAGCTTTCCAGTTCTCAAACAGACGAACTAGACGTGCTTCCTCCTGTGGGCAAGCGTGTTGCTCAGATGCAGTCTCCCCTTGGCCAAGTTCAAAAGGTATTTCCAGGGAACCCTTTGGATTCAAGCAGAGTAGCCAAGATGTACTCTTCAGTTTCACTTTTTCCGAAGGACAGAAGTCTTTGTCCCTTTCCTCTGGTGCTCATCCATTTTAGCAGAGGCTCAAATGGCCAAGCCTAGTAATATCTCCAGAACAGAGAACCAGGGACCCATGCACCCAGGGACCAGTGCCCTGGGGATCATAGAGGCTCAGTCTAGACTGTTCTGATGCCACCAGAGCTCTGCTGCTGTCCCCTTCTCTCACGACCACTCAGAAAAGCAAGCAGCCTTCCATCATGAGGTCACTTAGCCCCTTGACCATTCTACAGAGTGAGTGTACGGATTGCCAGTTCAGGCGGTGTGCATGTTCCTAGTAGGATAGAAAGTGGACCCGCCAGCAGGCTGAGCACTCACATGGTTGGAGAGATCGGCAGAAATAACCCCAATGGGCTAAACAACTGGGGAATCCAAGGAATGGCGCCCATATAGGAGGCGGGGTTGGTTATGGTCTTTAACCTCCTGGGGCCTAGTGCTGCGCAATGGAACGGGTTTGGCATCACACTTGCCCAAATCCAAGTGCACCCCAGGACTCGTTCCAACCCATGGGTGTATGGCCTTGTTTGCCATTTCCTTTGTTTCCAATTTTCCTCAGTTTTGCATGGAAAAATCAGACTTTCCTTCCCTTCCTGCCCACTTGGGCTCCCTGCCCAGACCCGGCCTCTTTACCAGACTCCTAAGGAAGACCTTCGCTGTGGCCGTGGGAGCTGAGGGGAGTGGAATTTGGTCCAGAGGAAGAGGACAGAAACTGAGTCTTCCTGTTTCCTTTTCTCAGGGAAGGTGTTCTCAGGCCTCCTTCACACCTTTCCCATGAGAACAGATGGCTTGCAGAGGAGGGCTCAGAAGAAAGGGGACCTGGGTCCAGCCCCCAGGTCTGGGTGCAAGACAGGCGCACCGTGGGAAGAAGTCCCACTTCCCCTTTTCAGCAACAGGCCAGCCGCATGTAGCGGTTCCCCTCTCTACTCCAGCGTCTGCTTCTGTGGTGCTGGCAACGGGGCACACAGACCCTCCCCAGGAGAGCTCTGGTAGCACCCCTAAAAGTCCACCACCCCGCATCCCACACCTTTTTGTACAAATGCTTAAACCTGTGAGTGTGCTATTCCTTTGTGTTCATCAGTTTCTTTCTATTTGAGCTGTGTAGGAGGGAAGGGCGTCAGAATTGTAGGATGTAATCTTGTGCCAGCCAATAAAAACCAGTATTTCACACACATCCCTGCTTAGTGTCTGGTCTCTTCTTTCCAGGGGTTTTCCTTGAGTCCTTGATTTTACTCCCACTCCGCTGGGTTTGGGGAGTTGCCCCAGAGGTCACCTGTGGCCTCATGATTTGCTGTTCAGGGAATTCAGTGAGGGATGGATTGGAGACTCCAGGGGCAGACTGGCGGTGCCACTGCCGTGGGGACAGAAGTGAGCCACATCTGAGATAACAAGGGAGCATAGCCAGAAGTGGCTTCCTCATGGGGAAGCAGGAGTTGGACCTGGAGTGCTGCTTCGAAGACTGCAGTGGCAGGACGTCCCACAGAAGAGAAGAAGCAGGGCGTCTTCAGTGTGAGGGCAGTGTTAAGTGGGCTGGGGCCCCTCGGCCCAAAGACATGAAGTGCGTGTGAGCTGTAACGAGAAATGGAGCGGGATCAGACCGAATCAGAGGACCACGAAAACCAGGCCAAGGAGTCTGGCTCCAGATGGTGAAGGCTTTTTTTAAAAATTTGATCAACTGATTTTTTTTTTTTTTTTTGAGAGAGAGAGAGAGGAAGGGGGAGAGACAGAAACATCTATTTGTTGTTCCACTTATTTATGCATTCATTGGTTGATTCTTTCTATGTGCCCTGGTTGTGGATGGAACCCACTGACACTGTATCAGGACAGCGCCATAGCCAACTGAGCTACCTGGTCAGGGCCAAGCGAAGCTTTCTTGAACAAGGCAGTCTTGGACCATCAGCCACGTCTGAGGAGGCAGCTGGAGAGGCTGGAGAGGAGCAGCCTGGAAGCTCTGACAGCTGTGCAGGGAGTGGTGTGGACCCACTGATAAAGAGAGGGCAGCAGAAGCAAGAGCAAACAGCCTATCATTGTCAAATAAATGTATCCACTGAGGCAGACTGGCATGGCCATTCTGCGAGCCCACAAATCTGAAGTGGTCCATGTATCCAGAGGTCACTGTTGGGGTGACAATCACACGAACACAACTTTTGAAGACTGGGATACGAGAATATGGGTGCCTAGATGACACCTGGCCCGTTTATGTGACAGTAAATTGTCAGACCAAGGTACCTGGTTAGTGCCCGGCTGAGTGTGTCTGAACGCCAGAAACAGGAAGTGGATTACTGAACAGTGCCAGCCTGATGACTTCATCCCCCCACGGGGCAGATTCCCTGGCAGCTAGTCAGGGTACTCTTTCTCCATCCAATTGATTCTGCAGGCCTCCTTTGTCCACCCTATGATGATCTCTCCTCCTTCCTCTGTCAAAGGGTTCTTTCTTTAGCCAGATTTAGTGCGCATAATGGGGCTAGGAGCTTATGAGTGCTGATGCAAGTCATACACTCAGGAAACCAGCAGACAGCCTCCTCCACTTGGGATCTGGGGTCCCAGAAACTCCATTCGCCTGTGTCAGACCATGGTGGACCACGCTACAGGTCGCCCCTCACATTTAAAACACTCACAGAGGGTGGATGTAGACCAGGATTGCCTTGCTGTAGTTCATTCAGTCTCCCAGGAGCCTGCAAGACTTGGGACTATAGAGGGCAGTCTAAAGAGGCTCCAAAACTTTGAGTGTGAGTGACGATAGAAAATCAGCCTGAAGAACACCAGCGCAACCCTGATACTGCTGGGACCAGGACCGGGACCAGGGCGCCGCACTGTGCTTCCTGTGCCCGTTGGTACCCCAGACAGCAGCTCTGATCATCTAAGCCAGATGGAGTCAGCAGTGTTCCTGCTCATCCCCCTGTCAGGTTGGCTCCTGTCCTCTCCAGAGACCTGATAATCATGCCCAAGAATGCCTGGTGCTTTTTTTTTATATATTTTATTGATTACGCTATCACAGTTGTCCTGTTCCCCATCCCCGCGTTCCTCTCCTCCGCCCTGCACACCCCTCCCACCCACATTCCCCCCTTTCATTCATGTCCATGGGTCATACACATAACTTCTGTGGTTTCTACATTTCCCACTCTACTCTTGCCCTCCCCTGTCTATTTTCTACCATCTATGCTACTTATTCCCTGTACCTTTTCTCCCATTCTCCCCCCTCCCTGCTGATAACCCTCCATGTGATCTCCATTTCTGTGGTTGTTCCAACCACACATTGGTGTTTCTCTCCCTCTCTCTAAAAATAAATAAAATCTTTTTGAAAAAGATTTTATTTTTTTATTTTTAGAGAGAGGGGAGGGGAGGGAGAAAGAGAAACATCAACGTGTGGTTGACTCAAGTGGCCCCCACTGGGGACCTGACCTGCAACCCAGGCATGTGCCCTGACTAGGAATTGAACCAGCGAACCTTTGGTTCTCAGCCCACGCTCAATCCACTGAGCTGCGCCAGCCAGGGCAAAATAAATAAAATCTTAAAAAAAAAAAATCATGTTTGCCTTCTGGTTGCAAACACATTTGGGGCATGAAAGGTTTATTTTATCTCCTTGGTTTTTTGACTCCCAGCTAACATCTCAGCATCTGAAGACGCAGCCACAAGGCTCCATGTTCTGTGTCCTGGACACAGCCGTGTGCTAAACCCAGGACGCTCAGCCTTACAGAGGCAGCTGCATGGGTGACGGATGGCACAGGATGGGAGAGATGAGCGCTTGGGGAGGTAAGCCATTGGGAGCGGGGTAAGGGGACGATGGAGAGAGCAGGAGGACCATGGGAGGGTGGGATAGAGGAAGGGATTCAGAAAAGGGAGGGACAACAGTCATCTGCCAAAAGTCCACTTGCTACATGTTCTTTACAAAGCTGCTCTTCTCTTTGTGAGTATTGCAGTTAGACCAGAGATCAGGTCTCAGCTCAGCTGTGGATAAGCTCTGTGACCTTGGGCAGGTTCCCATCCTTGTTCCCTCCAATTCAGCAGGGTAGCAATTGACTCCGTAGCATTGTGAGTTTTAAGCAAAGATGTGTGCGTGATGCTCAGGCTAGTATGTGATCATTGAATGGGGGCTGTGTGCGAACAACTGGGAAATGCCAAGTGCTGTGTTAATTCACTAAATAAGAAAACAGTCACAACAGACACAGATAATCACAATGCAGTGACAAGTGCAATAAAAAGAAGGCTGAGGGTCCATCCAAGGATTCATGAGGGATGAAGGAATTCTCGCCTCAGGGGCCAGCATGTGCAAGGGCCAGGCGCTGTGCTTGGGAGACGGCGAGTCTGCTGGGGCTGGAATGCAACAGCGATGGTGGGCAGGGAGGAGGGAGAGGCAGGAGGTGGCATGGGAAAGGTCAGCTGAGGTCAGGTGGCTTGGCAGGCTGTGTGATCTTTCCTCCGCATGACTGGGAAGTCAGCAGCGGTTTTGAGCAGAGCATGACCACATCTGGCCATTCGGGGAAGATGATACTGTCCATTGAGTGCCCCTTGGGGGCCATGCCTCGGTACAAGGCAGGGTGTCCCTGCTTCACACACAGTCTTTGCAGTCCTGCGAGGCCAGGGCCCGTGGTCATCACCATTGTGTGGTGAAGAAATGGAGGCTTAGGAAAGCGAACTACATTTTAAAGGTATTGGGAGAACTAATTTTCAAAATCAGGGTGAAGTGCCAAGGATGTCTTAAGACAACTCTGAAAACTACCAGGGAAAACAAAGGACTACAAGGGGAGTCCTGTGTTCTGTCACGTAAAGACTTAATATGAAGATACAGCAACTAAAACAACATGATAAATGGGAATAGCTAGAGAGAAAGAGAAATCCGTTAGTAAGCAGAGAGGGGACCAAGAGCCAGGCCTACGCATAAGTGGGAGCATGGTGAGAACGGGGCGGGGGGGGGGACGGCCACCGAGGGCAGGAAGGATGGGTCCCTCCACAGATGGTGCAGGAAGAACTGACTGGCCAAGCAGAGAAAAGTAAAATCAGACCCCTATCTCACACCGTACATGAAAGAAAAGTCAGCAATGTGTAAAATGAATCATAAAACTTTTAGAAAAAAATGTAGAAGTAACATATCCTAGGTCACACAGACCAAAAATGGAAAAACCATAGTCAGACCCAAGGGGCCTGGTGCAGAAGCTGCCCCGCCCGGCCCACTCAGCGGTGCTCTCTCCTGGCCCCTTCAGGGCGTAAGATGGAGCAGAGCACGCCGAAACTAAAGGTGGGGTGCTGGTGAGCGAAGGCTGGATTTGCACCCGGTCCCCAAACACCTCACCTGAAGGGCTGCTGGGGAGGCCGAGGGAGGGTCTTCCTCATGGTAACACCGTCCCTCAGTCAACAGGTCGGGCACTGATGACGCACCAAGGCACCACCCAGTGTCTGTGTGAGGGACTCTGTCAGGGACTCAGCAAACATTTATAGCTGTGTGGGCAGTCATGACACTCAGGGAGGTGTGAAAAGGGTAAAAATAAGGCAGCAGCAATGAATCACGGCACCCAGGGCTGGGGGGATTTTAGGGACTGGCTAGTCCCATCCCCCCATTTTACACTCTGGGAAGTAGAAACAGTGAGAAGGACCTCACCGGTGCTCTGGTTTGAAATCCTGAACAAAGAGTACAGATGTCTGGCCATCCTGCTCCTCTGTCTCTCGGCATGGAAATCTTTTTTTTTTTTAATGGTTGTCCTGCTCCTGCCACCAAATCCAGCGCCAGGTCTAACCCCATGTCCCTCACTTCATCACTCACTCACTTCCCATGTTTCTTGTCCTCATGTTGTTCCTTTGCAGCCTCCCTTCATAACCTGAATTCAACCATCCTCTCCAACCCCTCCTACCCTACAGCGGAGCCTGCCCAGAGGAAACCGTTGCTCTGGGACCACCATGGGCCCATACCGTGCCTCCACGGAGCCTCCAGTGCCACCTGTTATCCGTCAGTGACTGCCACACTGGCAAGTCCAAAGGCCACTTGCCTTATCTGACTTCACTGACCCTTCCCTCCTCCTATGGTGTCCCTGGCAACACTTCTGGCTCTGTACCTACCCATGGCTTTCAGAGTGAAGTTCCAACTCCTTAGATTAGTACAGCGTATCTTACTGTGACTTGGCCCCTGCTCACTTCTGCAGCCTCACTTCCTGCTGCGCACCTTGGCCTCACAGAACCTTG